AAAAAAAAAAAAAAAAAAAAAAAAAAAAAAAAAAAAAAAAAAAAAAAAAAAAAAACAAGAATTTGTGCATATTTGCAATCAACAAAAACTCCAATAAAAGTAGAGCCCTGTCTTTATTGGACTAAATTTGAAATAATTTAATTCAGTTTTGAAATTATTAAATTAAAAAGTGAAGAAGCCAAATACAAGAAGACATCCTTATAAGTTCCCCTCATCAGTTACTCATTTTTCTCACCCATATCTCTTTTTCCCTCTTCTTCTTCTTCTTCTTCTGGTTTTTCTCTTTCAATTCAAGCTCCAAAAATGGTGGAAAAGAAGGCCAAAATTGTCATTATTGGCGCCGGAATGGCGGGGCTCATGGCGGCGAATAAGCTCTACACGGCGCCGGGTTCCAAAGATTTGTTTGATATCGCCGTCGTGGAGGGTGGTGGAAGAATCGGCGGCAGAATCAACACGGCCGAGTTTATGGGTGAGAGAATAGAGATGGGTGCCACGTGGATCCATGGAATCGGCGGCAGCCCAATTCATGAAATAGCCGATCGAATCGGTGCTCTGAACTCCGACCAGCCATGGGAGTGCATGGACGGCTACTCCGGTCAATCAACCACCGTTGCAGAAGGCGGAGTTGAGCTCTCACCGGCCACCGTCGACCCCATTTCTACTCTCTTCAAAAACCTTATGGATTTCGCTCAGGGAAAAATCGCCGGGGAATCCAATATTCTCCACCAAGGTAATTACGACAAACTCAGCGTCGGTGCTTTTCTCCGGCAAGGGCTCGAGTCGTACTGGCTTAGTAGAAATGGCGTAACGGAGGTCAATGGGTGTGGAGAATGGAGCCAAAAAGCCCTCGAGGAAGCCATTTTCGCCATGTATGAAAACAACCAAAGAACTTACACCTCAGCCGGCGAGCTCTCCACGTTGGATTTCGTGGCGGAAAGTGAGTACCAAATGTTCCCCGGCGAGGAAATCACCATCGCCAAAGGCTACTTGAGCGTAATCGAATCAATCGCCTCTGTTCTCCCCCCTGGTTTAGTCCAATTGGGCAAAAAAGTCACCAAAATCGAATGGAACCCCGAACCGGAATCTCGGAATATTCCAACTCCGGTAACGCTGCATTTCGCCGACGGCTCCCATACATCGGCCGATCACGTAATCGTCACCGTTTCACTCGGCGTTCTAAAGGCTGGTACTCGGGAAGATTCAGCTCTGTTTAACCCTCCGTTACCGTCGTTTAAAACAGAGGCGATTTCCCGGCTGGGATTCGGCGTCGTTAACAAGCTCTTTCTCCGGCTATCACAGCCGGCGAACGACGGTGATAATCCCAAGAGTAACAACAAATTCCCTTGCCTAAATTTCGTTTTCCACCAGCCGGATTCTGAGTTCCGGCGGAAAAAAATACCATGGTGGATGAGAAAAATCACAACTCTGCAACCAATCTACCAGAATTCATCGATTTTATTATCATGGTTCGCCGGAGAAGAAGCTCTTCAGCTGGAGAAACTCAAAGACGAAGAAATCATCAATGGAGTTTCAACAACAATCAGCAACTTCCTAATTCCCAGATCCCAAAACGAAAACTCAGAATCAGACTCCAATGGGTGGAGTAACGGCCACAGAAACCGAAACGACACCGTTGAATTCCAATTGAATCAAGTCTTGAAGAGCCAATGGGGGAGCGATCCGCTGTTTCAAGGCTCGTACTCATATGTTGCAGTGGGATCAAGCGGCGAAGATTTGGACGCGATGGCAGAGCCATTGCCAAGAACAGAGGAATCCCCAAAAGCTCCATTACTTCAGATTCTGTTTGCAGGTGAAGCAACGCACAGAACCCATTATTCCACCACACATGGAGCCTATTTCAGTGGCCTTAGAGAGGCCAATAGGTTGCTTCATCATTACAATTGCATTTGAATTTATCTTTTTTTTTTTTTGGGTTTTTAAGAAGGAGAAAAAAACGAGGGTATCAGATGTCTTTTCACTTTCATTTTATTTTATTGGGTATTTACAAATTATCTATCTTCATGTGTCACGTCATCTTTCACCTGTTCCAAAATTCATATAATTATATATTTTTATTCTTAGTGTTTTCCTTTTTAAGAAAGAAAAATCTTATTATTTATAATAAATACATCTTTTTACTACAAATTGTACTAAAATACCCTTGTCTCTCTTAAAATTTAATTGTAAAACATTTATTTGTATTTGGAAAAAGAATGTATTGATTTCGATGATGTAATCAATAATTTTCATTTTGCTAAGTTTCTTGTCCCTTAGTAAGATCGTATCGGCTTTTATGATTTAATTATTTAATTAGATCTTAGGTATGAAAGAGGTTGAAAAATAAATGGATATCTATTTTGACATAAAAGAAAACGTGACACTCACCAAGGATGGGCTAATCAAATCAACTTTTAATATTCATTTTTGGGCTAATCAAATCTATGGACAATTAAATTTAATATTTAATTATAAATTAGTCGAAAAATCTTTAAATTAAAGATTTTAATTTAAAAAATATGTATAGGTAGAGGGTATATTTGGAAAGGAAAAATGTAGCTTTGGATACTGGCTCTTCAATCTCTCTCTTCATAACAAACCAAACTGTTTTTATTATATTGATTTGCTCAATTCAACGGACAGGATCCGATAAACCCGGCCCTTTCCACCTTGGAATCTATTCATCCTTCCCTTTTTGCTTTTCCTCTACACGACGCCGTTTTGGTCCTCTCTTCTTCTACACGACGCCGTTTTGGTCTTCTCTTCTTTTACACTCCCCCTCCTCATAGTACTTTTGCTAGGCATTACCCACACCCATTCTCATTCCCATTTCCCCCTCTTTGTTCCACAACTTGGGGACACCTAATCCACATAATACGCTCGGATATTGTATGCTACAAAAGAAAAAACACAAATAATTCGAGCCTGTACGACCGAACGTCTGAAATGCTCAATAGTGATTTCTTACACTACTATCTTTGTTGTTCTATTGTCGACGTACGTAGCAACAAAAATGAGCTAGAAAGATCAGCGCAGTGTTCGATTGGCCACTAACTAACACTTTTGAATCAAACGAGTAATTTGATTTTTTCCCCTTTTGTTCCTTCTTTGAGATTGTTTTTCAAATTGAACTCATATGAAATTAAGATAAAAGACATAAACTTTTGGCATTTTAGCTACGAGAAAGACAACACACACGAATAACGTTTACTACAAAAAACACAAATAACTCAAGCTTGTACGAACGAACGTCCAAAACGCTCAACAGCGGTTCTTACAATACTATCTTTGTTGTTATATTGCTGACTTGACTAGCAACAAAAATGAGCTGGACAAATCAAGGCAACGTTCGATTGCTTGCTAACTAACACCTTCGAATCAAACGAGTAATTTGATTTTCCCCCTTTTGTTTTTTTTTCGAGATTGTTTTTCAAATTAAACTCAAAAAAAAAAAAAGACATAAAATTTTGGCATTTTAGCTATTGCCCTACCCACTTGGTACCATTTAGATTTGTGCACAGAGGAAATCCCATACTTTGTTGGGTAGAGACAGATAAGGACTCCACATTGACCCTTCAATCAATATTTCTATTTTATTTACAATAACAATAATAATAAATAATATTAATATATATTCCACGACTACGATAACGAGACTACAATCCTCGGTTATAATAACGTTTTGCCTCAATCACCGTCCCTCCATCAAGCAAGCTTAAAAGTATAATTGAACACGATGCCAAAAAAAATTAAAGTTTTTTATTTATTTATAATAATTTGAAATTTTGATATGAAAAGAAAAATAATAAATAAAAAAGATTTTGTTTTAGTTATTATGGGTTGGAAACAAATAAGTGGAAGTGTAGGGTCAAATCAAAGAGAGGGGAAGTAAGTAAGTCACTATTTGAAAGAGGAAGAGAGAAAAAAAGGTGAATTATTATTGTAAAGATTTTGCAGGCTTCCTCCCAAAAACCTATGTCCCACATCCTGTCTTCTTCTGCTTCAATCATCCTTTCATGATTTCCTCCATTATCATGGACCTAGCTGTCACCCAAACTTCTTGTCTCCATTCTCGACGATTCCCTAGTATCGTCATCGATACTACTTTTACTAATCGTGTTAACGGGTCGAGGCTCGAGGTGGGAATCGAGGGTATAGATTCAAGGATATTCTACTTACTCGAGGTTGAGGGTAGTATGTATCGAGCCAAAGCAGACAATATCTACTAGTAGTGAGCTTTGACTCGTTTCCATCACAAACCCTTATACTCTAATTGAACTGAGATTACACCAACAATATACTTTACCCAAAACCCAAATGAAATTTAACCTCTTGCTTTGATTTTTTTTTACCTGAAAAGGAAAATCCAACCAAGAAATCAATTAATTTGCTTTTTAGGCAAATCTTAGATTAATAAGAAAAATTATCCAGGAGAGGGACCCTTAATGTCACATATAAAATATAATATATGAAAAAAAAATTGGTTCAATATTTGAGAGCCAATGGGGTTGAATTGATTTAACTATGTTATCTCATTGGTATCTGCCCTTCTTTTTTGTTGTAGGTTGAAATTTAGCTTTAAAAAGGACTTTAACTTGTTATTCCTCTTTAACCTAAACAATTCTTTTATTTATTTATTTATTTATTTATTTATTTATTAATAATGTGTGGTGGGAGTCTTACCCCTTTAGGGTATCCCTTAACTTATCCATCTCCCTCTTGTGTTCCCTTTGTTTTAGGGCATTAAATTGTCCTTATTTCTTTGTCACATTTTGACCAATGTTTTCTAAAAATCAAATCCTTCTAAGCTTAGCACATTAGGTTCATAAATTTCAAATGTCTAAGCTTGCCCGCTCTAAAATAAGAAAATGTTGGTTTTATTTTGTAAAATCCTATATAAGTTTCGGAGGAGAACGAAACACCCTTTGTAAGGGTGCTGAAATCTCTTCTTAGCATATGCGTTTCAAAAACCTTGAGGGTAAATCCGAAAAGGAAAGTTCAAAAAGGATAATATCTGCTAGTGGTGCAGGCTTGGGCCGATACAAATGGTATCAGAGTTAGACACCGGGCGATGTGCCAGCAAGGAGGCTCTTCCCCAAAGGGGGTAGACACGAGGCAGTGTGCCAGTAAGCACACTGGGTCCTAAACGGGGATGGATTGTAAGATCCCACATTAGTTGAGGAGGGGAACGAAACACCCTCTATAAGGGTAAACTCGCCCGGTGAACAATAAATGTAACGTAGTTTTTAAAACCATGTTTAAATAAGACACGGGATACACTAACTCACATGCCAAGAGTATACTCGATATTTCGAAGCCTAAATTGCATAAATTTGTTTCAACGTCAAGAAAACTCTAACTTTACTTTAATGGAAACCAACAGTTGACAACGGTAGAATTCTGTTCTTGTATTTGAACTTCTTTGTTCCCTCGATATCGATACGAACTCGGGTTTGATTTAGAAATTAAAAAAAAAAAAAAAAAAAAAAAGGAATTTTTATCCTAAATGAATGGATGGTGTTGGACATATGGATAGAAGACAAGACAGCCATAAATACTTAAAGATCTATCATTCACTACAATTCAAAGACACTATCTTCTCCAATTTGTCATGTTACAACAAAGTTCCAACATGACAACGTTATATTAATGAGAAAAAAACAATTATAGCAGACAACAATAAGATCTATCACCTGAATCTTATACCACTTTATGCCTTCTTTTTATTATTATTTTTTAATTATCGTTTTTATTCTTCCCATCTGGGCTGTCAGAGATGGAAGCTCAAAGCCCGGTTTAACTACAGTTAGGCCCATAATTCCATAGCCCAAAGCCCATTTAATCGAGATTCTAAGAAGCCCAAACCCCATTTCAAAACTATTATAAAGCGTTTTAACTTTTTAACTTTTAATCACTTCTCTTATAGCTAATAAATAATCAAAAATTTATCCAATACTCTTTTACTTTTTATTACAACTGACTGTAATAATTTTTAATATTAATTTGAGTGAGAGAAAATGTGAAGTCTGACAAGGTAAATTTAAAGAGGGTAAAAGGTAAAAATAAATAAGATGCGTAAAAAAGCTGCTATTGTAAGAACTTCATCATTTTGGATTTTCGGTCAATTTCACCACATTTTTCACGTTATATTAATTAATATTATTAAAATATTAATTAATAGTATTTTTATTGTCATAAATATTTATAATATTTTTTTATTTTATTTTACGTTTGGAGGAGAGAGACAAAAATAAACATGATAAGCTTTTTCGTATGATCTGTTTCAGTACACTTACACAGCTGCTCCTCTCTGCGTGCTTGTCTATTTTTGTTTTCAATTACTCAATATTATATATATATAAATATATATATATATATGTGAAAATGGAAATTACTATTATAGGCCTAATGAAAAAGGCCACTTGATTCTGGGCTCAGAATTTTAGAATGAAAGCCCAATGGGCTTCCCCAACAATCGAAGTCACTTAATTCTGGGCCGAAAACCCATTTTAATCTCTACATGTATCACCCCGCATGAAATGTTTTAACAACCGATGCCTATAATTTGGATTAGGATTTAGAATCTAAATTCGAGCCCAACATTTTCTGCATCCTCGTGTCATAGTCATATTGCCTACTTCTTGGTTTTAAGAGTGAATACTATTCCTGTAAACTAACACAAATCGAGGAATGTTGTAACGACTGATGCCTATGATTTAGAATAGAATCCGGAATCTAAATCTGGGTCCGACATATCTTGCATTCCCTGCATCACAGACACGTCTAGTAAAGACTATCCTACAGACCAACACTAGTACTTTCGAGATACTTTGACCTCACTTACACGCATCTTAGACAAATTTTTAATAGATCACCGAAAAATAATGTACCCCTTTTATTATAGATATTAAACTTTATTTTCTTTAAATATTTTTTAATCAAGATTGGTTAACAGTTTGATTCATTTAATCCAGCTCTAGCTGCCCCACACTTCACTGCTTCCTTCTCTCACCGCCAACCATTTTTCATCCAAAATTTCCCCCCAAGTCCAAATCTCTGCTTTCAGGTCAAATAACCATAATTCAACCTCTTCCCTCCTTCCCATTTCTTCTTGTTTGCTTCAGTCATGCCGGGAACTATCCGAGTTTCAGGTAACTTTCAAGCATTTCTTCTCTGCAATCGATTAGGTTTCCTTCTTCATGGTTGATTTTCATTTCTTTCAGTTCTGGAGTTCATCGACCTTCCTGAGCTGTTGTCTTCCCCAATTTCGATTAAAGGTACGCAAATTGGCTGCGTGTTTGATTCTTGTTCTTCCTTGTCTTGATTCTGAAATGGATTCGTTTCACTGCAGTTTCCATGGGTAAAACACATTACGAAACTTCGGATAAAGGAGATTTCTCATTGTAATGAAACATGCCTCTGTCATTTGAGATGTTTGGATTTTGTGTTTTTTTTTTCCTCACTGTGAATTATGGCTTTCTTTTTTGTGTATACAGTCCATTGACAACTCTTCGAGATGATGTGATTCTTATAATTCAGGATGCTGGAGGGAATGAGATATCACGTGCAGGTTTGTTCTTGGAATTTGGCATATCTCTGATTTTGTTAATTTTGCAAAATGAGGCTGATTGTGATTGGAATGGTTTTGTTTTGGGGAAGGTGTTCAGGTGAAATCAATAGTTGAAAAGGGTTACTGGGATGATCTTTTTCCTCTTGAAGGAGGAGGGCGTGTGCATTTGCAGTTCCAGTTTGCTCTTAGTGAAGATGATCGCAGCCGAATTCGAATGATGGTACTCTTTTCAAACTTTATTTTTCTCTTCAATAGTATCACTTTGTTTACCGAATTCCAGTTGTTTGATCTGTGTTATTGTAATCATTGAGCTTGTTTCACTCACTTGGACCCTTTGTTTGGCACTTTGAGATCTCAGCATAATATAACTTGAATCGCTCGACATCTTTTCTGTTAGGAACCATGAACCCCCACAATGGTATGATGTTGCCCACTTTGAGCATGAACTCTCATGGCTTTGCTTTTGGTTTCCCCAAAAAGCCTCATACCAATGGAGATATATTTCTTATCTATAAACCTATGATTATCCCCTCAATCAGCCAATGTGAGACTCCCTCCCAACAATCTTCTTCTCGAACGAAGTATACCATAGAGCTTCCCTTAAGCCCTATGGAGGCCGCGAATAGCCTCCCCTTAACCGAGGCTCACCTCCTTCTCTGGGGCCCTCAAACAAAATACACCTTTTGTTCGACACTTGAGGATTCTATTGACATGGCTAAGTTAAGGGCATGACTCTGATACCATGTTAGAAACCACGAACTTCCACAATAATATGGTATTGTCCACCTTGGGCATAAGTTCTCATAGCTTTGTTTTTGGTTTCCCCAAAAGGCCTCATACCAATGGAGATGTATTTCTTATCTATAAACCCATGATCTTCCCCTTAATTAGCAAGGTAGGACTCCCTCTCAACAATCCTCAACATTTTCTATATTTTTCTTGTAGAGAGAAACCGTTTTGAGAAGAAAACATGTTGAACGTCATGATAGCAATCTCAAAAACTCTGGAAGCAACCTTGCATCATCCTTTAACCTCAACCGTGAGCTTTCAGGTCAGATCCTACATATTTTATGGTTTATGGTTATGTGGTGTGATTTTCTAGCTGTCGGCTTTTTTTACATTGGTGTTTTCTGAAAGGTTATTTCTTGATTTTATGAGTGCTCCGTCTTCTCAAGATTCACAAAAATGTCTTATTCAAATTGGGGATCTAAGTGCTAAAGAAGCAGCTCACCAGTCTCCATCAGCATCAAATCAAAATATCCCTGATGAAATACCAGTTACTGAAAAAACAAACAAGATTCGACTTGATCGGATTCAACCACTTTCAGTCGAGGTTTAATGAATTTGTAGTGCAATTTCTTGCAAAGTTCTAGAGCTTGTTTACAGATTTTGATGGGTGTTTTATTTGTTTTAGAATGATGCAGATAGAAGTAAGGATAATCCATCAGCAATTCCTCTGATGCAAGAGGTTGAGGTTAATAAACCAAAGGTAAATAACACCGTATTAGTTGATAGGATGAGGATGCAGTCAACTCCTGCAATCAGACCGTCACCGACCAGTTCGGAAGAAAATTTGGTCCATTATCGAAGCTCAGAGTTATCGAATTCTCCATCAAAAGGTGAAGAGAAGACTGATGCTTCAGAGGCGGCACCATCACGTAGGAGGACTCCCGGGAATGTTAAAAATGTAATAAGTGCCTTTGAAAGTAGCCTGACTCAGGTATGTTCTGGGTGATGCTTTATTATGCTTTATTGCTTGAGTTTGGTATTGTTTGAATAAAATTCTGGTCTTTACATCAGAGTACAAAACCTCGCATTAAACCTACCAGAAATGCTCAACCCAATGTGGTCGAAAAGCAACCATCTTCCGAAGTTAATCAATCGAAGGATAATTCTAAGCCGACTTGGTCGCAAGCGACAACAGGCCCTCCTCTTGCAGGGGAGTTGACCCATGACTTAGCAAATACCAAGCAAAAGGAACAGAAACGAAAATTCTTTGAGGCTTCAGATGGGACTAAATCACTAAAGTTGAAGGGGAAAAAGAATCAAGTTGGAGAAGAAAATTTGAGTGGAAAGGAGTGTGATGATATAGATGCAAAGAATGATGAATCTTATCAAAAGTCTGTGCCTGAGAAGCCGGACTACGATAGAAATTCAGTAACAGGTGAATCGGTATCACGTGTCGAAGACGAGCAAATTCCATCCAAAAGGTCTGGTGGGTGGATATTTAGAGACGAAAGACGACGGCTGTGTGTCACAACAGGTGGTGATCATATGCTAGATCTGGTGGGAGGAGGTCGCACTAGCTATACATTCATCCGTAAGGGGGAAATGAAGATTTCCACGGAAGAGGTAATTCTGGTTTAAACAGCTTCTAGTTTCTTAAAACTAAGGTGAAAAAAGATAGATTCATTGATCTCTATGAAGCAACTTGAACTTCTTGACAATTGAAAGATCTAAGAAACTTAAATTTCTTGACAATGGATCCCACGTCGGTTGGAGAGGGTAATGAACATTCTTTAAAGGGTGCGGAAACCTCCCCCAGCAGACATGTTTTAAAAACTTTGAGGAGAATCTCGAAAGAAAAAGCCCAAAAAGGACAATATCGGCTAGCCCAAATGGGCTTGAGTTGTTACATTAACTCTCTCCATTTTTTAAAGTCTTCTCGACAATCATGCATACTAGGAACTTACTGATGGAGACTTCTTCACATTGTAAAGTCCACGCACCCACTATAATGGAACTTTAAATGGTGAAGGCCTAGAGTATTTTGCTTATACTATTCTAGATTAAGATGATGCTTTATTGATTGTATCAGCAGAATAGAGGTACCTCAGAGCCTAAGGCAAATGGGGGCAACCATGAGCATCAAAAAATGATCAAACCAAAGAATTCAGATGATGTAAAGCACTCTGGAGGGCCACTTGCCAATGTAATTTCAATCATCTAAAGCCAGATTAAAGGAAATGGGTATTCCAAATATTGATGTTTTGCTCTCCCAAATTTCTCTTGTTTAGGCCTTAAAAGTTGCAGTAATGCTTGGATTGGGGACTCTTGTTCTCCTTACTAGACAAAGGAAAAAGAAGGTATAAGCCTGTTATTTGTTATATTCGTCCTCGAATTCCATGTTTTCTGACCGGTTTATAATCTTGAATGCATCGATCTGCTGTCTTTTCTGCACTTTACATTCTCGTCTCGTCACGTGAACATCTCTTTCATCCAAAAGGCGTGCATATACACATACCTTCAAGTTGGCATCTAAAACTGAGTCTTCCTTCTTTATTTATGGCCTTGCAGAAATAGCCAGTTGGGTGAAGGATCCACACCAATTGTGTATTCAAGGCGATCAAAGCTGTTATGTTCCTTCTCCCATTCTTTTTTTTTAAAACCACGTGCATATTAACAAGATCCGAATGTCATTGTATAGATTTTGTTCTTAATTTAATATATCAACTTTATATTTAGATGTTCTGAAACTTTGTTGTTGAGAGAAGAAGATGAACTATTGACCTGATATAGTATTTAGTATGTTTATTCACTAAACTATGTACGGATAGTCAAAAAAAAAAAAAAAAAAACCAAACCTCTGTGATGCTTCTTTATAGTCACTTTTCAGGTGTATTGTAGTGTGGTTACATTCTGATCTAGCCATTCATACACCTCGTGTATGACTGTAACTCCTCGCAGCTCAATAAGTCTCTATCATCATATTGTATTCTGGTCTAGCCATTCATACGCCTCTGCATGACCGTAACACCTCGCAGCTCAATAAGTCTCTATCATCATATTGTATTGCCCTTAATTTCTTATGCATTCTTTAGTCGGCTAAAATTACAATGTCAAAATGTATGTATAATTATTTTTTTTATAAAAATAGTTCTATAATTTAGTAATTACAAGGTTGATGCTTGAACTAGCATGCTTATTTGAACTTCAATCTCTATATTTTCAATATTAAAAATATATAAAATTTATTATTAGATTTACAAGGAGATAATATATTAAAATACCATGTAAAAGTTGATGATTTAATTCGGTAAATGTGAATGAAAGGAAGGAAGAGGGAAGAAACCCTAATTATAATTAATTTAGACGACGGTAAATTCCGTAACGGATACATTGATTGTAGGGGGGCAAAGTCGGAATACAAAAAGATCCGCGTTGTGGTTCGGCAAGGCTAGGGCCTCTTATAAATACTCCTTCCTGTGGACTAGGGCGACTTGCAGTGCGGTTGAGCCGCTCGCCCCTCATTAGTTTAAGAATGAGGCTTTGCTCTCGGAGACGGAGGCTCCCTTCGCTTCGAATGTTTGTAGAGCCGATGATTTCGACGCTCTACCATTTACTTCTTTCTTTCTCTCTCTCTCTTTGATTATCATCATCTTCTTCTTCTTCTTCTTCATAATTCTGTTGCGTTGGCGGTGATGATTGATCTGAATGTCTATGAACCAGATGTGGAGATGAGCTCTGCGACCCTTCGTCAGGCGTGGCGACTTGGATAGGAGTCTCAGTGGATTCACTTTTCACTCAGACTTTTTGTCGATGTTCGCAGCCACGAATCGTCGCGTCTCTCTTCGTTTCTGAGAAAAGGCGAATCTGAGCCTTCCGTCCTCTACGATTTCGTTTTCAACGATTATCTCCGCATCTATCCTTGTGGATTTGAGCCAATAGCTCAGTTGGCGATCGCTTCGTTTTCTATTTCTAGGTTTTATTTTCTGTTTGTTGTTTATTGTAGCATGATTGCCTCTGTTTATTTCGATTCGTCGGCTGACTTCAAACAATGGGATCGATTGGATACTTTCTCTTCCTTCTCCGGCTGAGCCGCTAGGGTTTGTTCGTTTAGGAAGAGGCTTCGAGGAAAAAAAATAAGATAGGGTTGATTCATAGAAAAATCTAGAAATGGAAAGAACAGTCGAAAGGTATGAGATCTTCAATTCCTATATATTTCAAAGGCTCCATTGATTATAATTAAAAGCCTTCAACCAAGTTGCCATTGAAAGAGCACTGATCGAAATTGTTTCCGTGAACTGATGAGTTTTCCATTTAGTTGAGGCAAAGCGTCGTGTGTGGTTACATCTGCAACTTCACTCTTTGTCCTTTTATTGGATCTTGTATAGTTTGTTTGTTTAGATCCTTTTGCCTTCGATTATCTTCTCATCTCTTTGTGGATTTGAGCCACTTTATTCAGCCCGTGGATTCGCCGGAGCCATCCATCAATTGTTAAGAACCAGATACATCAATCTTCATTTGCTTGAAGTCGCCTAAGCGTAGTATCACCTCTTTTAAGAGCTTGCACAACATTTACATACTGGGGAGAGCAAGAACATTATTAATATCAATCTTCATAGAAAGCTTTGCAGGTTTGATCAAGAACATTATTAGTGCCACCCAATTAACACTCAACCTTCAATTTCACAATCTAAATACAACTATTCAATATAGAATGATGATATAACAGTAATCTTCTCGCACCACTTCTATCCTATAATTTAAATTTAAATTAGACTAAAATTATTACTCACTAAATATAATCTTTTTTTACATTGAATTTTCTATTTAATAAAAAAAAAGAAAAGGAAAGTAGTTAGTTTTAATCAGAAACCCTCCAACCAGTTTAAAACATTTACAATCCATTAAGTGTTAAAATTTTAAAATTTTCGAAACTAACAACTAATAGTTAGAAAAAATTAATAATTTAAAAACGTTGAATAATATTTCGTGCAGCGGACTCCCATAATCTGCTGGCGAGGCGACAACGGCCTTTCACCCAAAGCCTTCAAATCCACCATCCACGCACCTAACCTCCTAGCCGTACGATCCTTCAATTTCACTTCAGAACCCTTCTCCTCTTCAAATCTGAAGCAGCATCGTCTCAAATTTCGGTTCCTCTTCTAGAGCTGGAAGAAGACCAGAGGAAACGAACTGGTTGTTTCCGTCATGGTTTCCGATTCTATGTTGCCGGCAGCGGCAAAGCCGACTCCGACGGCAGATCGGGAAGAAGACTCGTCTAGCCCCTCCGCCGCTCTACTCTCTTTCGACACCGATTCCTACTCTTCAAACCCATCTCATAAAACCAGCATTCTCTTCATTTCTCTCACTTTCATCACTTGTATTGCTCTCTCCGCCGCCTTCGCCTTCGCCTTTCTCTTCTTCTCAGGCGCCAACGTCAATTCCAGCGCCCGTCCTCTCTCTAAGCTGAAACATCCCGTCGTTCTCTTAATCTCCTCCGATGGCTTTCGATTTGGATATCAATTCAAAACCTCAACCCCTAATATCGATCGTCTGATCGCGAACGGAACCGAGGCCGAGAGGGGTTTAATTCCTGTTTTTCCGACCCTAACATTCCCCAATCATTACTCGATCGTCACTGGCCTTTACCCGGCTCATCACGGCATAATCAACAACTATTTTCTCGATCCGGTGACCGGAGACGCCTTCACGATGGCTAATCACAACCCTAAATGGTGGCTCGGCGAGCCGCTGTGGGAGACGGTGACCAATCAAGGGCTCAAAGCAGCAACAGTATTCTGGGTCGGCTCTGAGGTAAACAAAGGCTCATGGTCTTGCCCTGTAAATTACTGTCGTCATTATAATGGCTCGGTTCCATTTGAGGAACGAGTAGATATGATTTTGCAGTATTTTGACTTGCCTAGTGAGGAAATTCCTGTGTTTATGACTCTGTATTTCGAGGACCCGGATCATCAAGGTCACCAGGTTGGGCCTGATGATCCACAAATCACTGATGCCGTAGCTAGAATTGATTTAATGCTTGGGAAACTCATTTCCGGCTTGGAAAAACGAGGGGTTTTTGAGGATGTTAACATAATCTTGGTGGGTGATCATGGAATGGTTGGAACTTGTGATAAGAAACTGATATTTCTTGAGGATTTAGCTTCATGGATTGTGATTCCAGAGAGCTGGGTTCAATCAAGAACTCCTCTACTGGCAATCCGTCCACCTCCTGATGTTTCGCCTTCCGAGGTCGTTTCGAAGATGAACGAGGCTTTGCGATCTGGGAAAGTCAAGAACGGGAATCGTTTGAAAATGTATGTGAAGGAAGAGCTTCCATCTCGGCTTCATTACAGCACGAGCAATCGGATTCCACCAGTGATCGGGTTGGTTGAAGAAGGATTCAAGGTGGAGGCGAAGAACAGTAAGAGGATGGAGTGTGGAGGAGCTCATGGGTATGACAATGCCATATTTTCCATGAGAAGTATCTTCGTTGGGCATGGCCCTCAGTTTGGAAGGGGGAGGAAAGTCCCATCTTTTGAAAATGTGCAGATATATAACTTGGTTACTTCAATTCTCAACATTAAACCTGCTCCGAACAATGGTTCTGCATCATTTCCCCAATCTATTCTCTTGCCTTCTGCATAGGATCTCGAACCGGCGTACAATAGTGTCTCTTTAACTCGAGCATCGCCGTATGGGATGTTCAAGAATTTGACCACAATGAGCGCGAATCCATCCATTAGCAGTGGTTTATAGCACTAGTTTGTATGTTTTCCATTGTGGTTTGTCGATCGAAAGAACGACCGAGCGAGCTTGTAATCTTTGAACTTTTAAGCTTATGTCGTATGTTGTTCTTCCTATGCAGGCAGGGGTATCATATTCAAAAACTTTGATCAGTTGATAGATATCTAAAGCAAGTACTCATATCAATCTCCTCGAGCTTCCTGCAAAACAAAATTCTGAGCATTTCAAAAATGCCTTTAGAATTTGCAATATTATCTTTGAACATTCATAGTGTGGTAGTGTTGATGTTCGGGTTTCTATTAGTAATTTTCTTATCTTTTTTCACGAGTTTTTTTTTTGTAGCGAGTGTTTACATATGTGTTTTTTTTGCTAAAAACGCATTTGATATCGTGCATTTGGTATTGTGAAGTTTTTTTTGCTTTAGAGATCAAATGGTTAAATATTAAAGTTCAAGAACATAAATTGTTAATTTGTAATTTTGTTAATTTATTTTGGGGGAAAATTGGAGAATAGAGCAAAACATCTGACCCGGAGGAAGGCCACGTAAATCCATGCACATCACTGGCCATAGATCGAAGGTAAGGTTGAAACGGCGTCGTATCGTTTCCCCGTCGCGTTTTTGTTGCCAATCTTGTACAGTGACGTGTTAGCTTAATTTGGGGAAAAAATGGCCAATCGGATTGGCCTCAACTTCCACCAGCGGCTTCCGAATCCGATAGGCTCTCCTTCCACCGTATTGTCCGCGAACAGGGCCGCGAATAGCCTTAAACAGTGGAGCGTCGGAGGAAAACCACGGCGGCGTTTGGTTTTAGGCCTCGGAATTTCGTTTTGGGCGCAGTTCATGAATATGTCCGGTTCACTGGTTGGCGCCAAATCCTTCGTGGCTTCTGCGAGACAGAAAAATGCCGTTGATGAGGTAAAATTAACGCTAAAACTTCATTTGAAATTCCGCAATTTGTTTTTCAGTAAATTGAAAAGCTAATTCGAGGACGACAGAAAATCTACTTTGCGTTTTGTGGAGTTCTTCAGTTCTTGTGTGAATTTTTCGTCTGGATTTCTTGATTTCATAATTTTTTTTGAATTTTCGCGTGATTTCTTCCGAGTCTGATCCGCCGAATTCCGTTTCTGTGAAGGTTTTGAAGAACGTGGAGTGGCCAGAGCAATTTCCCTTCAGGGAGGAGGATTTTCAGCGCTTTGACGAGTAAGAACTCTGAACTTAAGCAATCTTCATTAGAATCTTGAGTCACTTGAGATGTTTGATGAAAGCATTTGAACGAATCACAACTATTTCTTAGGACACCAGATTCTTATTTCTATGAATCCCCACGCTTTGTCACGCACATTGATGATCCAGCCATTGGTGCACTCACCAAATTCTACTCCGAGGTTTTCCCCCCAAGCAATACACCTGGTGTTAGCATGTTGGATATGTGCAGCAGTTGGGTAAGCCCATTTCTGGACTTGAATGTTCTTCAATTCTCTTTTCTTGTCTTCATGAACTATGTAAAGAAAGTGTGTGGAAATGAGATTTGATTTGAATTTTCGAATCAAAATTTTCTAACCCTGTTATTAGTGTGAAAATATTCAAAATCTCTCGTTCTCGAGTTTCTTGTGTAGGTCAGTCATTTTCCAGCAGGGTACAAGCAAGAAAGAGTGGTTGGGATGGGAATGAATGAAGAAGAGCTCAAACTAAACCCGGTTTTTCGATCTCTTCCTTCGATCTTCATTCTGATAAACAATCAGTGTTTAAACTGTTCCTGCAATTCTTCTTCGTTCAGGTTTTGACAGATTACCTTGTTCAAGACTTGAATGTGAATCCTAAACTCCCATTTGAAGATAATTCTTTTGATGTGATCACTAACGTGGTATGTGCTTACCTCTGAAGTAGAACCACCATTCATGGTATGTTCTAGCTCTGAAGTAGAATCATTCGTGCAACCCGTCTTGCAGGTCAGCGTCGATTACTTAACGAAGCCTCTTATCGTTTTCAAGGAAATGAGTCGAGTTCTTAAACCTGGTGGCATTGCCATTATGAGGTGAGAAGCTTACATAGAAGCCTGAATTCTGTATTGAGTTTCCTCCGATCTCGACATCTTCTAACTTCGTTGTTTATGTTGTAAATCAGCTTTTCGAATCGCTGTTTTTTCACGAAGGCGATCTCTATATGGACCTCAACTGGAGATGCAGATCATATTATGATTGTTGGGTCGTATTTCCATTATGCCGGTGGATTCGAACCTCCTCAGGTATGAGAAACTCATTGAGATATTTCCCATGCTTGAAAGACTCACAATTGAGGTATTTTCTACAACTTCTCATTAGGCTGTGGATATATCACCTAACCCCGGACGGTCAGATCCCATGTACGTCGTGTACTCGAGGAAGTTACCGACAGCTTGAAATTACACGGGAAGAAGATGAGCCAGCTGAACTGAATCAGTTTGACCTGCATATTAGTACATGTAAACTAAGCTTCAAACAAGAATCACTGAAATTGTATTCTTATCTGAGACAAAGGTTGTGAATAACCATTTAGGTTCCAAAACTTGGTTGTGCTGTCTGGAAACTCTATAAACATAGGGATAAAGGCATCCTAAACAGAGTTGAAAAGGTAACAAAAACAAGATCAGATCCATCCCAGTTTGTAACGACGAAAGAGGTCCTCGGTCTGAGCGTTTTTGAAGGCGCTGCAGCCGATTACATAAACCCAAATCAGGATCACCACAGTGACAATGAGAACCACATTGGCTTTCCTCCATTCTTTTCTGAGGTTCCCCAAGAGACCAGCCTTGCAAGAGTTGCAATTGTAGCACAACTGGGTCTGGTCATTGCTCCAAATATAGCAGTCTGGGTCAGCCATTGGATCACCAGGGTTCAGCCACAGTGTCGGGTTCACGAAGTTATACCCGCAAGCTGTTGGAGGTTTACAGCACCCGGACTGCATGCACATGCAGAGGAAAAACCAAGTAAGACCCCGTTAACGACTATTTCGTTTTTTGTTTCGTGATTGTTTTTTCACCCCTTATCTTTGAATTATGAATGATGTTAAGAAGTTTAATTTTCGAAACCAAAAGTCAAATAGTTACTCAACCGAGCCTAAATTGTTAAGCTCCAACATTAACCCAGCCTAAAAGAGGGAGGAGATTTGACCTACTACCAATGAGGTAAGACTATGACACCAGCTTGACAAATATATAGATAACTAGTGATTGAGAGCAATTTTCTCGGAAGAAGCAAGTTTAGAGTTCAAGACTTCTAGGGAAAGAATTCAACTCCATGATCCATAAAAGGTGACCCTAGACGGGACAGGTCAAGAGTGTAAAAGAACAAAGTTAACTTACCAGTCCCGCTAGATGCACAATTAATTGGGTCAGGATTTGGTAGAGTCAAGAGTGGGTGTAAAAGAATAAAGTCAACTAACCTATCCCACTGGATGCATGATTTCATTGAGTGAGATGTTCGGTAGCATCAAGAGTGAGTGTAAAAGAATAAAGTTAACTGACTCGTTTAGTTAGAAACACGATTGATTGAGAGTGTTTGGTAGAATCAAGAGGGAGTATAAAAGAACAAAGTTAACCACCCTGACCCGTTTCGCTAGATACGCAACTAATTGAGTTCGAGTGCTTGGTAAAATCAAGAGCCGAGTGTAAAAGAACAAAATTAACCAATCAAACCCATCCTACGAGTGTTTGGTAGAGTCAATAATGAGTGGAAAGGAAGAGAGTTCGAGTTGGAAAGTTTTGAAGGAAGAGATTAAACAATTAGTGATTATGGAGTTATTAGTTGGCTCCCACTTCCACCATTTTCTGAGTCAATCTTAAACCATCTTGAATTTGATGAATCAGTATGGTATCAAAAGGGCCCCCAATCAAATCTTAGCTGTCTACTTAATAGTTGTGGGAGATTAAATTCACCTTTTCCCAAAAGAAAATAAAAAACATAAAAAATTAATAAAAGAATAAAACATTAAAAATCAATAATATTTTATTTACCCCTGAAATTAAAATCATAAAACTAGTTTTAGTAATCAAAATATATTCACTTCTATTCAAATGAATTACCTATAATTTATTTGAAATTTTTAACTCTATTATTTACATTTTACACTTTATTGATATAAAACTCAAATAGGTGGCCACAATAAAATTTCCAAATTAAACAAAAAAACTTATTTTAATTTAGTTTCTATAAATTTAATAACCTTTAGAATTTAGTTTCTACAAATTAAACAAAATAATAGTAATAACTTCACCATTTGATTTTTGAAAAAAAAAAAATCACCACATTCTATTTTATTAAATTAAACTCTAAATTTAAGTAAGTAATGCAATTATTAGTAATTTTAATAAAATTCATAAGTCCATGCACAAATTAACCAAAATTCAAAAATTAAAAAAAATTGGTTTATTAGATACGATACAAAATTTTATATAAGTTTTTGGTATTATTAAAGCGTAATGGTTATTGGTTAAATTTTCATTTTTTATTACTAAAGTATTAATAATAAATAAATTTGTTTTTTTAATATCTTTTTGCTTTCTTTTCTGAAGAACCGACCTTGGGGTCAGGATGGCGTCAGAGAAGCCTCCGATCGAATCCTCCGACCATATTTTAAGAAATTAAAGAGAAAAATTATATATATATTTCAATTCGGAATCAAAGGAACTGACCTGAAGCGGCGAGATGTCCACCGCGAAAAACTGATCGGCGGCGAAGTATCTCTGATTAAGCTTAGAACACACATCAGATTCCGGCAAACACGTCCTTATCTTCGGCCAATTTCTAGAATTAGTGAGATGATTTTTGAGCCAGGACGAGAATCCGTCGAGCCGATACTCCTTGAATCCTCGGCCCATGACGGTGTAGCTACCGTCGGGGCGAGTGACGACGAAGGTGAAGACGAGGAGGACCAGCAAAAGGCCGATTAGAAGAGCCATACAGAAGAGGTAAAAGGCCAAGAGGCCTTGTCTGTTCCAGTAGGCGCCGATGAAGCCCGCTAAAGAGACGAGGAGGATTAAGACGCCGAGGAGAACCACCGGCCACCGGAAAAAATGGATGCATTCGTAATCAGGCTTTGAAGCCAGCCAAATTCCGGCACCGATTATGGGGATGGAGCAGAGAAGTGCCAAGAAGTTCACAATTGCCGTGATGTTGTTGCTTAAACCCATTGAATTTCTCTCCCAATTTCTTCACTGAGAGAGACTTCCTTGTTACCCTCCCAGTGTGAAGAAAGTGTGAAGCCTTTGGTTGGTTATGTCGTCATGATTGTCGAGGAAAAAGGCATGGGAGTGGGACGACACGTCGTTTCCAAGTGTTCCGACCCCGAAAGTTGTACCGTGCAGCCACGTGGCACCCTATTTTCTTTCTTTTTTTTAAAAGATCAAATATCATATCAATTTTAATAAAAATTAATTAAAAAAGGGGAAATTTTGATTTGGGCCGAGGTAAAAAAACAGGCCCAGGGTTCGGTTTGGAGAATTGGGCTTTTGCGAAAAGAGCCCTCAAAGTGTGGAAGAAGTCTACGCTTCGTCACTCGTTGTCCATTGAAATTCTCAAAATCCCAAGCTTTATTTTGTTTCTCTTCCGCACAGTCGCAGAGCTCGGCGTTTCACAACCAGCAACGAGAGAACGGCAGCCATTTCTATCTCTTTTGCTATTTCTCGAAGGTGAACGCCTTTTACATTCTCTTCTATTTTTTTTGATTTGCAAGTTTCGTCCTTCGTGTCTTGTTTAATCCCTGTTTTTGCCTTTTACTGTGTCGTGTGTTTTTCTCTTGTTTCTTTATGATATATTTATCTACTCTGTGGTATAAGTATTTCGTTTTGTTTGTATAATAGTGGAATTCTCGTTTTGTGTTGATGTTTGGATTGTTGTTTCGAGTATTGGATATTGGAAATTGATTAGGGTTTTAGTCTTTTATCAGAGTAATTGAAAAGATGAATGGTTGAGCGATTTGTTACTTTGAAAATTGATTTGACTAAAATTTTCTATTGCTTAAGTTTAGAGAGAATTTCTGTGATTTGGGGCACTATTGACGGCGGCGGAATGGTTTCTCCGGATCTTTCTTGCCGACAGTGTGTGTCGGTCGGAATTCCAATTCCTCCATTGAGATTCTCTTCACCAGCTAGATGTTGATTTGCGTTCGATGAAGAAAAATTAGTAACACTGCCGTTGGTTTCCAGATCTCTATTTACTTCTGCTTTTAACTAAGAAAGTCGAGGATCCAATTGGAAACACGGAGATACATTGATTACTCTTCTCGTTGTCAATTGATTTTGAGATGAAACCTCATGTTTTCTTATAAACAAGTCATTTTAGAAACGTTATGAAAATCAAAACTGTTATTGAATGCGTGATTACTAGGTTTGCTTTAGTCTTGATGCTCCTCGGATATTTTGTAGAGTTTGGTGATTTAAGTTCTTGTTTCCCGCATTGATTGAGATTTTTTTTAATTGTGTCTTGGCTATAGTTTTTTCAGCTTTATTTTGAATTGATGGCGTCCAAGTTGCATCAGTTGCAATCCAAGGCCTGTCAAGCTTCTCAATTTGCTTTCAAGCACGGGTCTTCCTATTATAAGCAGTTGTTGGAGCAGAACAAGCAGTACATCCAAGAGCCAGCTACTTTGGAAAAATGCAGCTTGCTTTCAAAGCAATTGTTGTATACTCGGCTTGCTAGGTTATTACCTTCAATTCCCTTATTATCTTTGCATTTTCCCAATGTGGTTCTCGAATAATTTCCATTGATATTACTTTCATGTTTTCCCGATTCATCACGCTTTAAGGATTGTGCCTGGTAGCTTAGCTTGGGTATCTTACACTTGCAACCAACCGGCGTGACTGTTTAGTATGTGTTTTGATTTGCTTATTCATCCATTTCTCCGTTCTCTCAACATTTTTCCTATTAATGATTCTAATCAAACCACTCTTTGAACATTCGCAACCACTCAAGAGCATTCAAGTTCCTTCATTTATTTCAATTCATGGAATAGTATACTCATTTGATGGATTTGGATATGAATCCCCCTATTACCTACCGTATGTCCATGAAATTCTATATTATACTCACTCTCTCTCACACTCGATAAGTTCTATTGTAATGTCTTGGTTATTTACAGTCCCTCGTGTGTTAGGTTACACAATCCTTTTAGCCTTTTAATACAAACAAATACAATATCAGAACTCTTACAGCTGTATTACTGCACTGATTTCACTTTATCTTAAGCTAGTTAATTATCAGCAGTACCATTAGACCATTAAAACGTAAACCTAAGATAAGCTAGTTAATTATCAGCAGTACCATTAGACCATTAAAACGTAAACCTAAGATCCGAAACATGGTACTTCCTAAGAATCATGTTCGCCGATGTACTGACTTCTTTATACGTGGTACGTTGCAAGATGAGCTCCATTGCTTTACTTTGTACTGACTTCTTTATGCGTGGTACGTTGCAAGATGAGCTCCATTGCTTTACTTACCCAACTTTTCACATTACATTGATCATGCAGCATCCCTGGTCGCTATGAATCATTCTGGAAAGAACTTGATTATGTGAAGAACTTATGGAAGAACAGGCAGGAGCTGAAAGTTGAAGACGCCGGCATTGCTGCCTTGTTTGGGCTGGAGTGCTTTGCATGGTTTTGCGCCGGTGAGATCGTAGGAAGGGGCTTTACATTCACAGGTTACTATGTCTGAGATCGCCCTCAGTAATTTGTGGAAGGGATATTCCCTTTTCATTCCCGCGGGTACTCCGCATACAATTTTTTTTCCTATTAATTGAGGATTCTGTGAGCAACTGTGATAGAGATTAATAAGTAGTATCCATGAATTCCGAGGGACCATAATGGATCCTAGAGTTGTTTTTCATTGATGCATGTTCTTGGTAATCCAGTTCTTAATTCTGAACTGGAAATCTAATTTGAACTTCTCAGCATTTTATGTGGAGCTTTTTACCAGATGATCTGCAGGTAGTTGTCGTTTGAACAACAATCTGAGGTATGTTCTAATCCAATATGTGATATCATTTTTTGTTTTCCATTTAGCCAAATTTTTGGTTCCATAACTTCTTTTTTGTGTTATTTTATTTTGGTTCTTAAAAATTCGACCACATTTCGTATACAAGAGTCCGACTCTATCGATGGTTTAAATAATGTAATTTGAGTTTGATGAGTTATTATTTATTTATTTATTGTTCTATCAAATAAATAATGTAACATTTTTTTTTTAATCTAAAATTAAATAAGATAGTTGAAAGAGCTCCGAGAGAGAAGTGGAAAATAAGGAATTATGATGTACCATATACGTCATTGTGAAAACCAAAAACCGTGTCATTTCTATTTTGACATGTCGTTTCTATTTCGAATGTATTTGTACTAAAAAACCAATTTTTTTATATTATATATTATATTTAATTATATTTAATAGGTTTGTTAATTTAAATATAAATTTATTGAATATATTATCGACTTAATATAAATAAATTTTTTTTATTGGGAAATTAAAATTTGAAGGTTAAAATGAAATCTAACCTAAGAAGAAGAAAGTATAAAATAAGTAAATAATTAAGTAGTGGTCAAAATTACAAAATAATAATAATAATAATAATAAATAAAAGAATAATAATGTTACTTCCCTCTTAAGCATTAAAATAGTGATTGGTTATATTATAGAGTGGGGAGGATATATACATGTGGACCAATTCAATGAACAGTTCATATCGCAGAGCCAATCGGACGGGAGAGACGCGGTACAGAAAAACTTCGCCAAAGGAATCTGTTTGTGGTCTGAAGAAGGCGACTGAAGATGGTCTGCAATACCAGCATTTCCCTTCGCAAACATGTCGCATCGGCCATTTTCCTTCTCCTCGTTCTACTCAGCGTCGTCTCCGAGTGTTCCAGTCAGGTAATAATATGCTCCTTTTGTTATTTTAAGAACTGATGCTGGAGAATTTGGATCTTAGATTCGTACATTTGGTTCTTCAGTCTCCTCCGTTCGTTTCTTGATGTGAAATTCAATTTGTTTGGCTTCTATTCAACGATTTGGATGTTAACGTCAAGTTTTCGTTGGATGATAGGTTGAATGCAGTAGAACTTGTGTTTCAGAGAAATGCAATAGTGAGTATATTCTGTATCTTTATATGAAATTCGTCATCTGTTATTATTTTTAAAATTTTAATTTCTCATCAAATATTTATTTTGTTTGTTTATCTGAAAATTAGCTGTAGGGATTCGGTACGGTAAGTTCTGCGGAGTAGGATGGACGGGTTGTGCTGGTGAAAAGCCTTGCGATGATCTTGATGCTTGTTGCAAAGATCATGACGAATGTGTTGAATATAAAGGTTATTGCCAATCTATAACTACATGCCTTATTGTTTCCTTTCTATACTTCGCATTGTTTGCCATTCCTCATCATTATACTTGCGTAAAAAGATTTCCCATCGATCTATATTACTGTTTTAGTTTTAAGTTGTTGTGAGACCAATGGGGTGAAATCTGGGCATCCTGTTGTTGAATGAACTCTTTTTTCGGGCATTATTGGTATATTCTCTGCTGCATGCTTGGAAAAAGATACGTATGAGATTCAAATATTCGACTACAATTTCTACCCTTTGAGAATAGAAGAATCGAAATTGGCTCTCCCAATGAGGCTACCCCTTGTTTTCATGCCCCTTAAATCATTTCCGTTCTCAAATATATTCCCGTTGTAATACTTCATCCTCAGCCTCAAATTTAATTTAAAAAGGGCGACAATCCTTGATAGTATGATAATGTCCACTTTGGATACAAGTCTCATACCAATAGAGATGGTTTTCTTCATTTTCCCATGATCTTCCCCCGTCCCGTAGTCAATGTGAACCTTTGGTCGCACTTTCTACGATCTTCCACCAAATAAACTGCCATGGAGCCTCCCCGTTCTAGGGCTCACCATCTGTTTGTTTGGCATCCAAAGACTCTTTCAACATGGCTAAGTCAAGAAGGTGATTATGATACCATTACAAGAAGTAGAAAGAGAGAGAAGAGAATATGATCATAAAAGTACTTCGTTGTTCAACATTAGTGGTTGGAGAAGTAATCCTATTTATAGGACTCTCTGAAACAATATTAACTTACGGTACTGTATACTAAAGCAGTATTAGCAAAGATACAATCGTAACAAGCTCTTAACAACCAATGAGTTAAGTCTTAACACCTTTGGCTTCTAAATTCTTAACAACCAATGCTAAATGTCATCAAACTCCAAGCCGCCAGTTTCTCCCTACCAACATACATCATCAATGGATCCTAACTAAACCTAACCACGGAGAATAGCTACTTCCATTCGAGGAAACTGTTGTCCTATAGTTTAGTCCCGACTTGTGAGCTGCTGGGTTGCTCCATTAATAATGGTAGAGAGGTTAATGAGTTGTTTTTCTAAACCCGAGTCCTCCCAGTTGAATTTTCTTATGGATGATGTACTGCAATTTCCTCTGTCATATGCTTACCTGTGAGAAGCTTCATCAGATTCTTGATACCTCAAGGTTAGGGTGCTTCCTTGTACTGCCAGCGTGTAGAGGCTGATTACCATCCTCAAAATGCTTATGCAGGCTATAATAAACACCTTTTGTTGTTATTATAATTTTTTTTTTTGACGGAAGACCAAGAATGGTTGAATAGTCTATTGTGTTCTTCACAACTTTTAAGTAGAATCCTTCGTGTCATTAACTTCGGAGTAGGATGACAGACTATCACATATTAACTCCCTTTTCAAATGCATGTTGCAGTAGGGACGTTGAACACTTTTGCCTCCATTGTAGTGATCATTGAGTGGATTACATCAGTAAATGCCTACGAATAGTCAGTTATTTATATTATGCACATAGTAGATTCTGTTTATTACGGATCAGTAAAGCTATTGGCCTCCTGGCCATTGAAAAACAAAATTAGATACAAAATTGGAGATATTAAGGCATGGCCAATTGGCATATTTAAACAAAGAGGAGATACTAGACAGTCACCAATGTTTGGTGTTGCTAAAGTCTATATCTTAGATCTTAGATCTTAGATGTCTTTTATTTATCTGAAATACTACACATTTCAAACTTTGTAGCACTAGATTACAGGAGACCAAGCAGTTTATATATATATATTGGTTCATTTTTGCAATATTGTTGTACCATGTTTTCTTTTTGTTCAATTATGATTTTGGGTGGAATTTTAACAGTTGGAACTTGAGAGTCACTCTGTTTAATATGTTTTGTTTCAAGACCAATAACATATATCACATGGGTTTTTCAGGTTTAACCAATATTAAATGTCACATAAAGTTCAAGGATTGTATTACGAAATTGCAGAAATCTGGGATGGCTGGTTTCTCACAGCAGTGCCCTTATTCCATAGCTATTCCTACAATGGTAAATGGCATGGATATAGCCATCATGTTCAGCCAGTTTAGTAGCGGAAAGTTTGAGCTCTGATAGCCACTTTGGCAACTCAACTCGCTCCATCATCCCCGCCCACAATTCATGCCATCAGTTATTGCTCATACTCCCCCAAAACAAGGTGGATAGCTTCACAGCACTGATTCATTATTTTAAATAATATTCTATTGGATTAAGAAATCTCAAACAGAGGGCTTGATCCTCATTTTTTGTCCCCTTTTAACTGCTATTTGGACCATCTGCACTTTAAGGATGTGTTTATCGTAGTGAAAGAAGATTCCAATAGGCCAAGTTGTTTCATGTTTGATGCTTCTTCAATAATCAATAGCTGTTAGGTTTTGGATTCCCTCCTTATTGTGCGTCAATTACTCCATTTTTAAGGAGTCACCCAATGTGTGGGCAGACTGTTGCAAGTTATCTTCTGATGTTAGGCTTTTTCGTTTGAAGTCGAACAATCACAGTTTATCACGTGACAAACTCTTTTTTTTTTTCTTTAATGTTTTTTTTTTTTTTTTTTTTTTTTTTTTTTTTTTTTTTTTTTTTTTTTTTTTTTTTTTTTT